AGGGTAAACCATAAAAAAAGTGATTTTCGAGCCCGACACACTATATGTTGTAACAGTCACCAGTAAAAATTCCACCCCTTTGCTTGTTGATTCCGCGCCTTTTTCCTTGCTGGAAGCACCGATCTGAGAATTTTACGTAATTCTACATCAAAGAGTCTCGTTGTTGTCACTTTGAAAGCAAGGAACGACAGACGATCACGAACAGAGCAACAATGAAAAAGCGCACGAAGAATGTCCTAAGATGTGTTCCGGTCCCGACGCGAGTCTTCATTTCACAAAGCCGACGGTATTCTTTGATGCGACCAGCAATCGCGAATACGTTCTACGCTCTAGTTCACCTGCTTCTCGCGCAAAAGAGGAACAGGTAGAACAAAACCAACAGTAGGCAAAGTCTGTCCCTTGTTAGCCGTGATTTTATCAACGGGACGCATTCAACTTCTTTCAGGGTTATTAACTTTTAACCTCGTTTTGCCACATCTGTCAGATACAATGCTGTTCAAAAGTTAGGTGTATTTGTTTTAATTGTTTTTTGCTGCGGATGGTGAGTTTTGAGGTTTCTGGGTGTTGCGGAGGTGGAGGTCTGCGTTTGGGGAGATTTGGGAGTTTGGAAGGTTGGAGATTTGGGGATGTGGTGATTGGGGGGTTTGGAAGGATCGGGATTTGGAAATTTGGATATTTGAGAGTGTGGAAGCCACGCGTTATATTACTCACGCGTCGTATATCCACGCGCCGTATTTCCACGTGTCGTATCTCCACGCGTGGTATCACTCACGCGTCATATTTCCACGCGTGGTATTTCCACGCGTCGTATCTCCACGCGTTGTATCTCCACGCGTGGTATCACTCATGCGTCGTATTTCCACGCATGGTATTTCCACGCGTGGTATTTCCACGCGTAGTATCTCCATGCGTGGTATTTCCACGCGTGGTCTCACTTACGCGTCATACCTCCACGCGTGGTAGTTCCACGTGTTGTATTCCACGCGTGGTATTTTCACGCGTAGTATCTCCGTGCGTGGTATTTCTACGCGTGGTAGCACTGACGCGTCGTATCTCCACGCGTGGTAGTTCCACGCGTCGTATCTCAATGCGTCGTGTCTCCACGCGTGGTATCATTCAGGCGTCGTATCTCCACGCGTTATATTCCTACGCGTTGTATCTTCACGCGTGGTATCCCTCACGCGTCGTATCTCCACGCACCGTATCTCCACGCGTGGTATCACTCACGCACCGTAGAAATTTGGTAGCTTGGGAATCTAATCCTCTGAGAATTTAACTACTTGGCGATTCAGAAATATGGAAACTTGAGATCGCCAAAATTTGAGAATTTAGTAATTCGATAATTTCAAAATTCAGATATTTGGATATACTGAAATGCATGAATTTGATAATTTGACAATTCAGTCAAATAGTGGTCCGAAAGTTTAGAAATTTGGAAATGACCTGCACGCTCCCTAATTATTCTCCCTAATTATTTCTTCATACTCCGAAATCCCTTGTCACTCCTTGCAATTCCCCAAAATCCTCAACTTCTCTACAATTTCTCAATTCTTCCACCAATCTCAACTTTAACAATTTTTTCCAACCATAGCACATGCAATGAAATATTGAAATTTTCCATAACAAATTCTCTCACTATCCATTTCGCGTATTTTTCCGACTCGCTGAATCAGTCATCAAAAACCTTGTTTTCTCCCAAAACAAAATAGAGTGCTGTAAAATTTTGAACGAAAGTGTATGGAAGTCATGCACGCGCGTTTTGATGTATGCGCATAATTCTCTGGTAGTTGAGTCAGAAAGCGAAAAAAGGAAGAAAAAAAAAGATATAGCCGGACAAAAGAAGGCATCGTTTGTCAGTGGGAACAGTGCGAGCGAAGTTACGTGCACGTGCACACCGTATTGTTATCTGTTGGCAATATAGAAAAAACCTAGCTGTTTTCATCAGAAGAAACATTATGGGAAACGACAGAAATATGTTCTCTACTTTTTATGTCGATATGTAACATTCGTTTTGTATCTTAACGGTTCAGCAGTTTCGATTAGCTTTTTTACTCGAACGTGCATTCCATATCTTGAACAATTATTTGAACCTTCCATATTTTCTCCGTTTGAAAATCCGACTGGTATCGCGTACTGAAATATTCATTTCCGTTCTTCTCGAACGGACGAGTTCTTAGCGTTATTCCGTAATGGAGGTATCACGCACGGGATCATACACCGAAAGTGTCGGTGCCTGAATTTTTTACGAAATTCATTCTCCTTTCTCGACGTCAGACCTCGAAAGTTCCGCGCGGGACGTCGCATCTTCGGATTAAATATTAAACGGAAGCTGTTGCGCTTAAATTTTCATTAAAATTTTCGACTCTGACGTTTTACTTCGATATTGTCGCAAAGTTGGATTTGAGCAATTTTTTTTATGGTAACTGTTGAAGCCAGGAGATTTTTATGACACGTTTATTTTGATGAGATTAGGTTGCATAGGGAAATTGGGGATGGGAAAGGTTTACCGCAATGTTGCAATAAGTTTTACTTTGGTTTAGCATGGATCGAGGTTCTTTTCTAGCTTTTTTTCTAATTTGAACTTACTGGCTTTGGACTCTTTTATAAGTTTCTCTAGGTTCTCTCTAAGTTCTATTTAATGTAACTTAGGGAATTAGCAATATGATGCGTGGTATTGCTATGCGTTATATTTCCACGCGTGGCAAGTCTATGTGCTGTATTTTCACGCGTGGTATTACTCACGCGTCGTATTTCGACGCATGATATTACTCACGCGTCGTATTTCCACGCGTTGTATTTCCACGCGTGGTATTACTCACGCATCGTACTTCCACGCGTGGGATTACTTACGCATCGTATTTCCACGCGTCGTATATCCACGCGTGGTATTACTCACGCGTCGTATTTCGACGCATGTGTATTTCTACGCGTCGTATTTCCACGCGTTGTATTTCCACGCGTGGTATTACTCACGCATCGTACTTCCACGCGTGGTATTACTTACGCATCGTATTTCCACGCGTCGTATATCCACGCGTGGTATTACTCACGCGTCGTATTTTCACGCGTCGTATCTCCACGCGTGGTATCACTCACGCGTCGTATTTCCACGCGTTGTATTACTCACGCGTCGTATCTCCACGCGTGGTATCATTCACGCGTCGTATTTCCACGCGTCGTATTTCCACGCATTGTATTACTCACGCGTCGTATCTCCACGCGTGGCATCATTCACGCGTCGTATTTCCACGCGTTGTATTTCCACGCGTGGTATTACTGACGCGTTGTATCTCCAAGCGTGGTATAACTCACACGTGGTATTATTGACGCGTCGTATGTCCACGCATTGTATTTTTACGCGTCGTATCTCCACGCCTTGTCCTCCTACAATCTAAATTCTATGATATATAGAAGAAAAGATAGATACTGTCGTCTCTATAGATCTGCCTTAATTTCTTAAAATCCTTATAGAACCTTCCTAAGCTCTATTTATAATACCAAAGAGAATAGATACAGACGATAAAGTCTCCTTAGAGTCTTCCTAGACCTTCTTTAAAATTACCTTGGCGTCTTGAAATATCCCTGACTTCCCTATTATCTAGATAGAGAACGATACGACACCTTAGCGCCAAGCTTATGATCTCCCTCAGTTAATCCCAGAATCCTCAATGAAGAATTGAGAATTAGAATCCTCTATCTACAATATATTTAAAATGAACTACTCACGGTCCCTAAATAGTCCTTAACACTTCATAAGCTGGAAAGTTAACAATTTTACAGTTATTTGAGAATAATCTCACTTGTTATCTGATTTCATCTGCACTGTATGATCTTCCACGATGCTACATGTGCAATATATCACTATGTTTGCACCACAGTTCGAAAACGAGCTTTCATTGAACGTTTAGAAGATATTATCGATACGAATTGCGGCAGCGGTTTGCTCGAGAAATTCCAAAGTAATCTAGAAACGTTTCCGGTACAACGAAACTGCGGCACATTTGCATCGAGCTTAATTGCACAGTGTATTAAAGTCCTCTTCTTTCGTGAAAGATACTATTGCAGTAATTTAACGCCGGATGTTATATGCATTTCCACGAATCGAGTAATTTTACGAATTGTGAGGGTAAATTGCAGTCGAATTTCGTTCGCCGAGTTTATCTAATCTGATGGCGCCCGGAGAATCCATAAGAAACTAACTCTGTAGCTGTTATGTGTTTCGGTACAAAAACAGGTATTCGTGTAATCGGTTTTGTGCAATGTCGGACACGCTCGAGGAAGCAACTTCGGATATCCGTGAAAAATTAAAGATTCCATCATCCCCGTTTGATATATCGCCGACCAAGGATGATTTCATGCTACAGCGATTTCAGGTCGCGGTTTTCCCTTAAGTTTCAGATGTGTTCACAGTTCGCTGCCGCTTAGTGTTTTCATTCTTTTAAAAAAGATGCCTGTCAACTTTACTATTCTTTTGCTCAGACTTTGCTGTGGCACTTTTATCCGAAACTTTTAATTAAATCGTTTCATAAGCGGGATAATTAAAGAAGAATCAATTTGCTGAGACGGGGAGTCCGCAATATTGATCGGAACTGGGCTCTCACTTGATAGCTGCTTGGATTTTATGCGGATTATATTATTCTGGCAATTTTTGGACCTGGAGTTTCAAACTTTTAGGACGACTTTGACTTGCAACCCTATGACTGTTAAGATTTTTGAGTCCCAAAATAAAGAACCTTATTTCGTAATTATTAACTCTTAAAACCCAACAGCCTCTCCCCAAAATTTAAACATTCAAAATACCCAGCTTCCAGACAAAATGACAAAGTATTATAGTAATCTCGTATACCGACTGCAATAAATTCTGGGTCAGGTGACAGCAATACTACGAAAGCTTGGCGACGATACGGTGGAGTTTAATACGCGAACGAACGGGCGTGCAATTTGTAAGCTTGTTTAATACAAGAGGCTAATTTAAGTACACATCGATTCGAGACACGTACCTGCGGTATTCGGAAAAGTCGAAGAAGGTTTGCCACCTGGATAGATGTGACCGAACTCGCAGCACCAACTACCCCGCTGATAACTTTTCGCACAGCTGTTTTATTGCAATGATACTCGGCACCGTCTATATTGCTTATCGAACCTGCAAAACAAAAATAATTTATTAGTTATTATAACTGACAGTAAATAGTTATTTAAATTGTAGTAAATTTTTATTAGTCAAAAATAAAGGTGAATGCGTTCAATGCACCTTAATTATAACAACGAACGTATAATTATTACAAAATAAAAGCAAAAACGTTCTACGCAACCTTAATTATAATTATGTGGTAATTATAACAATGAGCGTATAATTATTACAAAATAAATGTAAAAGTGTTCTATGCACCTTAATTATAATTATGGCTTAATTATAATAGTGAACGAATTATTATAAAATAAATTTCGGAATATTTCGAATATTAAATAACACTAAGCGTTTCAATTGTCATCGCGTTGATTTTCCATACCGAGGAGCTCATTTCCGTTTTTACGTAAATTTTTAAGCACGCTGGAAAGAACAATTTCAGCTTTCATTTTACAGTTCAATAAGCTATTGTCACAACAGCGGCTTAATGAGAATTACATGTCGAGTGCATTTAATTTATGGAACCAGAATTATCCCCCGGCGCATGGATCATTCACGTGAAGTATCGATGCATTACTTAATACCAAAATGGATTATATATGCGGATATATGAAAGTCCACCTACCATTAACTTTGTATACATATATCTCTGACGCAACTCCCTTCTTTATTTCATACGTTTTATTTCGATGCTTCGATTTCAATAACATTAAAATCACCGTACTGCATTAATGTAGTAAGGTTATTTACATACATTGTTATGACCAGATAAATATTACTATTAGCAGGTGAAATTTTACCGATACATATTATTTATTTAACATGCAAATATGGAATGAGGTACGATAATTCTTGAATAAAATCATAATAAATATAAGTATACTATTTTGAGGTACAGTAGACAATCTTTAATATACATAAATTAAAATTGTAACAAAGGAAAATTTTTTGAAATTCATCCAGATTGTTCACTTCGTAGAAAATTGTTTTGTGTAATTTTAAATGAAACAGTACCACTAACGACGTGGAATTAACGTGTGATAGTATTTCCATGAGTTGTATTTCCACGCATCGTATTTCCACGCATTGCATTTCCACGCATCATATTTCCACGCGTGGTATTATTCACGCGTCGTATCTCCACGCGTAGTATTACTTACGCGTCATATCTCCACGCGTGGTATCACTCACACGTCCTATCTCCACGCGTGGTGTCACTCACGCGTCGAATCTCCACGCATTGGGTTACTCACGCGTCGTATCTCCACGCGTGGTATCACTCACACGTCCTATCTCCACGCGTGGTGTCACTCACGCGTCGAATCTCCACGCATTGGATTACTCACGCGTCGTATCTACACGCATGGTATTACTCACGCGTCATATCTCCACGCGTGGTATTTTTCACGCGTCCTATCTCCACGCGTGGTGTCACTCACGCGTCGAATCTCCACGCATCCTATCTCCACGCATTGCATTTCCACGCGTGGTATTACTCACGCGTCGTATCTCCACGCGTTGAATTACTCACGTGTCGTATCTCCATGCGTTGTACTTCTACTCATCGCACTTCCACGCGTTATAGCACCACACGCGGTATCGTCATGCGCCATATATCCACGCGTGGTGTTCCTCACAAATTAATTACGAAATAATAAAGTTGCCAAGTTTATTTTGAATAATATCGATACATAAACGAAACCGTACCACTAACTAACGTCGTTAAATTAATGCGTCATAGTTTCTAACAATTTGTATATGCCGCAGCTTGTCTCCATTATGGTTACCGATACAAAGTTAGAACGGTCTGTTAGACATGGGTGATAAAGTTCTTCATTCTTCGGATTTGTCCTTCCAACGAAATCCAATTTCGGGTTTTGTGTATCTTTCGGAAGTTGCAGGAAACGTGTTTGTGGCGCGGAATCGCATGACGGAATTTTGTAGAACTTTCTTTCGACCCTCCCCTCGGATTTTCGGAAAGAACGAATTACAATTTTACGCTTCGGTTGTTTCTCACCGGAATTCGGGACGTGACCTTATATTTTACGTGCTTGTTTAACCTTTTCCTGTAACGGGGATCAGTTTCGTTGAATTCTGGGACTTTTAAGTAGGGTACTATACGGTGGCTGACACTGTTACTTAAAACTTTGTTACGGCAGATTTATGGTGTTTCGTATTTTGACCGAGTTGAAAATTGATTTATGGAGACAGTAGAGTATGATAAAATAGTTATTTTGCTGTTGATAGCAAAGTATAGATGGTACACGTAGTATAGTGAGTTAAATTGAATCTATTTGAGGTTAGGTTAGGTACTAATAATTATTAGGTTAGGTTAAATACCAATAATTATTATCAAGGTTAGAGTATCAATAATTATTATTAAGATTAGAGTACCAATAATTATCACACAATAATTTTATATTAATTTAACAAGACAAAGTACAAAATTAATAATAAATATCGCAACCCTTAATTTTTACCAACCCTAGGATCTAAAACAAATTATAACCTATATCACATTAAAAATATACATATGTACCTAAAAAAAATGATATTCAATATGTCATTTTTATCATTTACTAAATTGAGCATGCAGATGATTACAGTTTGAAAATTACCAAGGTTTACCCTAGATGTGCTCTTTTATTGTTTGTCAACGTCACGAGTTCACACGCGAGTCGGCAACGATTCAAACGAACTATAATTGCGTTTGCGCGAGAGCACCTTCTGTCGAATGCATTCCTTTCGTCTCGCGAATCACTTTAACCGCAAAGCAGTTGCGAATTATTTCCAGCTTCTTTCATTCCGTGGCATTAAAGCGTTCTCGATTAGTTTCACGCTACGTTAAACAAAAGTCGCCATTCCGTGGCGCACTTCGCTATACGGGCATCGTACAAACGCACTATACGTAATATGCTGCGTCGTCACAGATCTTTAATATCATATTCATACTTTGTTCAATATGGATTTTAGGAACGATTCTGGATTTTAACTAGGGATAACGAGTGATGGATAGCGATTTTTGGATGTTTTGATGGGGGTGAAAATTATTAGATGTTGGGAGAGGACAGAGTGGGATTAAGTGCATGAAAATGCAATTGCAAATTTTGCAATATTCAAATTTTAAATTGTGAAGTTCCTAAATCATTAAAGCTCTAAAATCCTAAGTTACTAAATTCTTAAATACTTATATTTCCAAATTTCTAAATCACGAAATCCCTAACTCCTTAAATTCCTAAATCCCCAAATCTCCAAATCCCTAAATCTTCAAATCCCAGAATTCACAAATCCTCAAACACGAATAATTCCAAAATCAAATGCAAACATTTCGAAATTCATGAAGTTATGTTTCTGCACGTTCGCAGTTGGACCAGTTACAAAGTCGACTACGATTGACTACCAACTACCAGATCCATTTTGGAGATAGATTGTATATATATGAGGAATTTCGCGGACACAACATTTCCATTTGGATGATTGTTGTTTGGTCGCGTGATGGTTTAATGCAACGTTTCAACATTACGCAAAGTTATCTTGTAGCAACTACCTCTGTTAACGAGAGAAAGCCATTAAGTAGAGCTATTTGAAGTTTCTAATTCGTTGCTAACGACCACTTCCTTCTGCATCGATGCTCGCGTATCAGAACATTGCCTGAACTGTCACGCGAAGTCGAGAAATGTGGTTCTACTTCGAACAGCCGTTTACGTTACGTGGAGCTTCGATCGATCAGAGTTCGACATAGAAACACCATTTTCGATTATAGATATTCCCATTCTCTTTACCTCTTCGGTTTTAGTTGTAATTGCTTGGTTTAGTGGACAACCAATATTCCAATCATTCGGTTGTTCATTTCCAAACTTTATTCATTTGCAAATTTGGACAGGGTAATTTGGAAAATTGGTGTTGTTGAACTTTGCTATATCGATTTGGAGATGTGGGAATTTGAGGATTTAAGGATATGGAAATTTAAGCATACATATATGCTTTTGGAGATTACGATACTTGTGAATTTGAAATGAAATTATTAAAAATTTCACCTAAATTCCACATTTATCACTGTATGTTCGAATCTTTGATACGTTAGTGATACCACGCGTGAGTGATACTACGCGTGGAGATACGACGCGTGGAAATATAACGCATGGAGATACGACGCGTGGAAATACAATGCGTGGAGATACGACGCGTGAGTGATACCACGCGTGAAGATACGACGCGTGGAAATACAACGCGTGGAGATACGACGCGTGAGTGAACCACGCATGAGATTACAATGCGTAGAGAATTACTAAGCATGGAATTACAGCGTGTGGAGATTCAGCGCGTAAAAATATAACGCGTGGAGTTACGATGCGTAAAACTACTGCGCGGAGAAATACTGCGCGTAGAAATATATTAATAAGAATTTTTGACGCGTGAGTGATACCACGCGTGGAGATTCGACGCGTGGAGATTCGACGCGTGGAGATACGACGCGTGAGTAATACCACGCGTGGAGATACGAACGTGTGGAGATGCGTGAGTGATACCACGCGTGGAGATTCGACGCGTGGAGATACGACGCGTGAGTAATACCACGCGTGGAGATACGACGCGTGAGTGATACCACGCGTGGAGATTCGACGCGTGGAGATACGACGCGTGAGTAATACCACGCGTGGAGATACGACGCGTGAGTGATACCACGCGTGGAGATACGACGCATGGGTGATATCACGCGTGGAAATACGATGCGTGGAAATACAATGCGTGAAGGTACGACGCGTGAAGGTACGACGCGTGAGTGATACCACGCGTGGAGATTCGACGCGTGGAGATACGACGCGTATGTGATACCACGCGTGGAAATACGACGCGTGGAAATACAATGCGTAGAAATACGACGCGTGGAAATACCACGTGTGGAGATACGACGCGTGGAGATACGACGCGTAGAAATACTACGTGGAATCTATCACAATATGCCACAGCTCACCGTCTCAATCGCAATCGATCGATAATCACATTGTACCATCAGGCGACGAAGATTAATCATCCT